GAAACGAAACGATACAGAGTGCATGTAGGATATTATAGGAGGTCCGTAACAATGGTAGTATCAGCCGCGACGCGAGAACGTATCGCCGTTAATATATCGGCTGGCGCTGCAATCGATAATTCGATTCGTTCGGCGGTAAATCACGATTCCGCGTTAAGGTTGCCTCTTCCGCGAGAAAAACTGCGAAAGGTATTAAATATTACATCGACGATACACCTTGTGCAGCGAACCGGACGACACTGTCTATTTTAGTTTGCGCAAACTCCATCCGCGCGAATTTACTCGTGGCTGTTCTTCGCGAATGTTTATTATTGAAACTATACGATACTAAAATACAAATTTAAAGAATAAGTAAACTGAGTTTTATTATATTTTAAAAAGTTTGAAATTTGTAGAGCAACTTTCCGACACCTCCAGTTTCCGGAAAGAGAAACGTAAACAATCCGCACATATTTGCTGGATTTCGTCGGCTAGTGTAGTAGGATAGGCGTCGCGGCGGGTCGAGTTATGGAAATTGAACTATTTTTGGTTCCTTTGGTTCGCTAGGTCGACGAGAACGAACGACGCGCGGAAATAAACTGTTAAATATAACCGGTTTAGATGCGTGGCTAAAGTGCATTACAAATCTCCCTGCGTTAATACTAGCCGATATTACGAACGCATCAACGATAATATACGGTTAATTCGATCGCGCGCAGTGTGCGCGCGTAAATCGGGAGAACATATTTCCTAATTTCGCGTAAATGCAAGCCGACTACTGTACCGCGATGACAAATCGCGGCCCGTGCTCTTCGACCTTTGTTCGAACGTTTTACCCAAAGGCAAAGCAAGGATCTATAGAATTAAAAAGCTTTAAAAACTAAAGTGACATTAATTCGAAGGAATCGCGATAGTCGTTGGACCATGCAAACTTCCTCGGAAGAATTCTAATTGCCGTCATCAGGATGTTAACAACCATTTGCAGCCACTTGAATTTGCTTTCCGGTCGGTCCGCATTTACCGACGAGAGTAGCTCTTCTCGAAGACGCGGCGGCACGTTTCACCGAAAAAGCCACGTACCGCTTCGAGTCCTTTCTATTTCTTTTTTTTTCCTCTCTCCTCTTTGGCTGAACGGCAGCGACGAAAAGCGCGACAAATGCAAGAAAGAAAAGTACGTGACCCGCGATGAGAGCGTCCACATTTATATTTCTACCTCTCCAGGTTTTCGGGCTACTGGTTTTCCGCGCTGACACTAATTTCGCCGTTCCTCGTGTCTCTTGCTTCTCTCGAGGCCCGTCGTAAAACTCCCGGCCGTTCAAAGAAGCTACGTGTTTCAGATCCCGCCGCCGAAACGTCCCATCGAATAAATGTCCGATGGAATTTAAGCGTTCCGCGGGAAAATCGGCCCGCGCTCGAACCGTTTCCGATCGGAACTGCCTCCGCGAAACGCTGTCCCAGCACCCGGTACAACGAGAACGGTTATGAAATTACAGCGAGGAACGCGACTCGTTTATCGATTAAAAAAGAAACGAATCTACTATTTCACGCCCATCGATGCAACGAATACGATTATGATAAAACATGTACCGATGGAATCGGTTTGCGGGTAAACGACTACAATGCGAGGTCGTTAAACGTCTGAAATACAGTTAAAGCATTTAACATCCGTGACACGAGCGCGGCGCGGATAATAAATTCTCGTCGCTACGCTCGAAACGATCGTCGTAAGTCATATCGCGCAATCGATGGAATAAAACGTCGATCGGAAATTAAATTACCTTTCCGTGATCGAAAGTTATTTATCTAGACGGTTGTCATATTTTTTATCAACGTATTAGATTATTTATTAACGTATTAGCACGCAGGGGAGAACACGCATCGTAATCGCAAGGACTCGACCTTTATTCCAGATTAATACGTAACAATTTACGCCTCGATAGTGATACACCTCGCTCTACAAACCACTCATCGATGTACATCCCGTGGATATGAATATTCCTGTTCGCCGCTATTCGCTGCATCGACTGTCGATCGACGAAATACGTACGAATTAGCGAAACAATCGTGCATGGAACGTTCGGTGTGCGTAAGGGTCGTATTGTCCGATTCGATAATGGATTGCGTAATAAATGTGCGAGAAAGATAAGTAATTGCTAATTTTTTATAGGCATTAATACAGAATATAAATGACTCGAAATTCTCACCATCGGTCTTTTACTTTCCTTCGTTTATCAACGACGCTGCGTTCATATTTCAACATGCTCTCTGCTCTGAGCCAACGATCCGAAAGTACCATTAAACACTCTAACGTTGCTGTAATGCTTCGGGAGGATCTGTCGAGGCTCGAGATTTGGTGTTTTATAAACGATCCGTCCGCGGTCGAAAAGAGAGCAAACGAGACACGGTCAAAAGGATGCGAGGTGGAATTTTTCGGCGGAGGATTACAATTTCCGGAATATTGCGACGCGTGACAGCGTTTGTGAAACAAACACCGCGGTAAAGTTTCAACCCTTAATCCTTTACCGTCGCTCTGCGACGCAATAAACGCCTTGTTAACGACCGCAACTTATATAGGAACACCGACCCCTCTTGAACGATAGCCCTGCGGTCGCGGAGATCGCTCCAGCGTTTGCGGATGAAAAGTTCACCGAAACTTGAAGGGAAGCGCGATGGTAACTACTGTTGATCCGATTATACGAGAACGGTAACCGGTCCCCTGCACCGCGCGACTTGCATTATTTTGCAACGGTTACAAAGTAATACAACGAGAATGATATCGATCCCCGGTGAAATTATGCAAAAAGAAGCCTGGAATTTTCAAGCAACCTGAATTAATTCGTCCCTGTTCGCCGCGAAACCCGTGCACCTCGGATTAACATACTTTGCAAGTTTTCGCGGTACCTCCGTAGTGATATTTACCGAATCCTTTGATTCCGAACAAAGGAAACAATAAATATTCGAAAGGAAAGTTAAAAACGATCCACGGTCCGTATAATAAGTAAGCGACGGAAGTTTAATTTTACTACGGTGTTTAATCGACTGTTGCGCGAACGTTGCGAAAGCATCGTTTTTGCGGGAGGAGCTCGGTCGTGTGGCGTGTCCCGTAATCGCCGGGACTCTATAGTCCTGCGGAGTCTCTGTGCTTCGTTAAAGGCGACACTGATATACGCGGGCGGTCCTCGAAACTTATTACTAACTTAGGAGAAGTTTATTTAAATGTATAGGCGAGCGGCGGGCATCGTCGCGGGACAGCGAAGCGTGCAGATAAGGCATAGCCGGTCTCTTCTTCCCTCGCTCGCCTCTATTTATACCCGTAACCACCTACCGGTTGCTTTCATCGCGGGCATGCAACTCTACCGCCCGACGTAGTTGCAAGTTAAAGCACCGTCTAATTAAGTGGGGAAATTACGAGCTCGTACGAGAACTCGCGAAATTAACCGGACCGCGCGTTGTTCCGGTACCAGTCGCAGACGCCTGTAACTGAGAACGACCAACCATCGTCCACGACGCGATATTACAGGGCAGGTTTCTCAAAAAACATCGAATCGATTTGTAAAAGTTTGCAACTTTTATCGAAGACCCTTCGACTCGAATATATAAGTTACACCATTAAAACTTTTCAGTATTATTTCGTGCGATGTTCGATGTCAATCGCAATTGACTTTGTCGCCTGCAACTTTTTATCGAGAAACGACCGAAAAGAACTGACAAAACTCGGTACAGCGGGGGGAGAGAATTGTTTCCGAAAAGTACATTACCTATTAATACGATTACACAATCAATTACACGGCTACATAACACGACAATTGTACACTTTTGCATTGCGTCATCGTTCTTGCGCCGGGCGCGATATTATTGTCGGTATCCGGTTCAAACACGCGTCGTTATAAAACAGTTTAATCGCGCTTGTCGTTCGAGAGGAACCGGAATGCGCGAAATGCATCGCGTTAATGCATCCCGGGAGATAAATATTCATAGGCGCGCCAGTTTACACGGATTAATCGGATCTCGCGAAACGAGTAACGCGTAACACGATTCTCAGTTTTATTTCGCGTCTGTTCCGTTATCAATTCGCGTCGAACACGATTATGAAATCGTTAATTGCCAATTCCAAAATGTAAATTGCAATACAAACGTAACGGTCGCCTGGATACGCCGATCGACGTAATTCGAACTTGCAGAAAGAGTACACGGCTTTTAAACGAGAAACGATGCTGAAGATTTTTGCTAAATATTTAGTTTTTCTAAAAAGCTTCATGCAAATGGAAACTGGAACCGGTTTATAGACGAAATAAGTAAACGAACGAACCGAATTTTCTTGGCCAGAGGAAAAACGAAAGACGGGGAGACAAAAAAATGAAAGGATGGCGCATGTAGGTGTTACGATTAAGCGTGTAACTATGAGGGATGGGGGATGATCGGTCGAGTAGCTTCGCAACACGGTTGATCCGTGGTCCGTGCCGATGCCCGGTGAAACCGGTACACGAAGAGGAGTAGCCGACACTCTGCCGTCTACCTGGATTATTCGAGATACTCCATACACCGCCGCGAAATCCCAGACACATTTTCCGAACCAACGAGCTCTTGCGTCGCTATAGGCTCCAACGGATGAATGCCCGCAACGGTGGATGTATGCGAATCGTAGTCATCGATCGGCATTAACAATGTACATACAGACGGGTTTCATCCGCGATAAGGCTTTGCGATAGGCGATACGCGTATCGCGGATTAATTAGGAACTTCGGAAGAGGAGATCCCGTATTATACCGCTTACCGTGCACCGTGCACTCTGTATTCCATAGATCGCGGGGACTAGCTTCTAATTAATTCGCTGCCCAACTTGATCCAAGAAGTCCAGAAATTTCTACCCCGAATCGCCCGTGCGACCTACGTAATCGATAGACACCGATAACTGTTCGATCCGTGCTAAAATCTTAATGGAAACACCCACGCATGCGTGACTCGACTCGAGGAGCTGAAGAAACTGAATTTTAAACTAAATCTCGATTTTTAAATTGCAGGCAAGTTCATGGGCGCGATGGACATATGAATCGAAACCATCATGGGCGTGCTCCAATTGATCCTGTTGGTGCTGGCATCGTCGCGCTACCTCGTGCATCCGATCGGTGAGTCTCAACGTTTAACGAACGATACTAAAACGCGATTTCGTGCAACCAGAGACTTCCTCGAATACGGCACGAACGCGAACGCGAACGCGTCGTTAGTTTTCGAGACTGTCGCGCGTATTTTCAAATAGCGCCGCCGTTCTCGTTAACTATTGTCAGTTAACGATAGGAAATATCAGGAGAGACGGCGGTTCTTAGCCGCGGGTACGGAGAAGACACGGAACTCTCGAATTCAAAACGCGAATCTTTATTAACCTAATCGCGTCGGATGCACGTTCCGGCTGCAACCAAGACTTTGTCAATATCAGACCGAGCTACCGACGGAAACTCCAGAAGCGAGAAACTGCATTATTCGACTGGAATTTATAGTCATCCTGCGAACGACCAGGCTCTTCTCCTCGCTCGATAAGGACTATCCTTAAAACTGGTCTCGTAGCAGAGTCATTTTCAAACTGCTTCGCTCGAGCCTGACTATTTTTCGCGAGCTTAAAATATGCTCGCATCGCCCGTTACATTCTTCGCGATCGTGAATAGATTATTAAGAAAATTGGAAGGGAAATGCGAAGATCGTTTGAACCGCCGTCTTTCATGTTGCCGTGTAAACGAACAGACCTTAATCACGAAGAAGAGGAATGGTCGAGCAGACTTAGCCCCAGAGGTCGGTTATCTTTATCCAGAGGAAACAGCAGCGCACCCTGGAACTTTCTCAATTAGTGCTCTAGCCCGATCGACCAAGAGCTCATTCGTATTCACGATGAACCTGGGACCGTGGATAGAGTAGACCGATAGCTCGATTCTCTTTCTCTCCGACCTCTTACTACTTGCTCGCTACCAACACTTTCTCCTCGAACTCGTCTCTTTCGAGTCTTCGAAACGCTCCTCTTTCGCTTAATTCTCGCGGAGTTTCGTAATCCGTCGATTTCTCTCTTTGTCCGTGTCCTCGTCGGCATTTAAAAGCACCAAAAAGGCGGGTCAGGGGACCGATTAGAATCGCCGCTTTTAATTACTGTCGTCCCTTTAAATCACGCCCGAAATCGACTGTCCGATCCTCGATATCTCGAATCATTACGGATGGAAGTTCGTCCGTGGAACACGGAAAGTCTTTTGACCGTAGCATTTTACGAGTATCGGTAAAGTAACTGGAACGTATTCCGTCGACGATCGAGTCGCGACTAATTCGCCAACGTTGCAGAGGATTTATATCTTAATTTGAAAAAGCGGTACGCGTTCGCGTTTTGTTAAGGCGGTAACTGTCGCCGTTAATGCTTGTAAAGGTTGGCTCGCGCCACGGACAACAGATTCTTGATGTACTAGCGCGGAGAACGAGTCGACGGCTCGAAGCGGATATAAGCAGTAAAATATGTTCGCCAGGCTGCTCGAAACTCCGCGAAATACGCTTAACGAAGATAAAGGTATCGCTTGTCTCGAAACAAGCCCCGGCCAAGAAGCGGAGCTTATTCTTCGCTGTAACGACGTAGATAAATCTCGGGGAATAATTTCGCGAGCGCGACGTTAACGCGGCAAACTGGTTTTTCCCCGAGTTTTCAGAACACGCGCTACAAACTAAAAGGAGAACAGAAACAGGCTCGATGGGACGTCGACGTGCAACGGAACGAAGTTTCCCGAAACACGCGAGACATTTATCGTTCGGATCAGCGTTTCTCAAACTCCGCGGCCTGACTGTTGCAGATATTTTGAGAAACGCTGGTCCAAAACAAAGTTCGCAAAGAAGTTGCGAGTGGTTATAAGACGCGCGGTATGCAGCGGAGAGTTCGAGCAAAGGAAGTGCCCGCCGTCTTCCTTAACGAAAATTCAGCCGACGCGGTAACGATGAGCAAACTTAGTTTGAGAGAGAGTACAAGGCCAAATATATTCTTCTCGTTGCGATCCTCGACCATTACTCCTGCGTCGGCTTCTTCGTTTTCCTCGCGGACGATGCAACAAAGAAGATGCTCGAAGCGCGCTCGTTTCCATTAAAGGAAAATTTTCTTGCAAAGGAAGAAAATGGGAAGCCGGAAGGAACGAAGGGCGAATATCCTTCCTCCTAAGTTGGTACATACAGTTGTCGGCTTTTTGTTCCTAGCGAACCGACGGCTTCCTTTTATGAGAAGCTATGAGCGTCGCGAAATAAAAGGAACACTTTCCACGGTAGAGATATTCTCTAATTTAGAGTGCCCTCGGAAATGTACGCGTGGTCCAAACTTCTGCGCGGATATTCGGTCAACCGTGTAAAAATATTTTTCTCGCCACGAACAACGTTTTTTTAATTCTCTGATTGGTCTTGCTTGTAACCGTATTAAAACAATCCTTTTGCCCGCGAGCGTAGATCGATTTGTATGTCAGTCGAAACGCGTGAATAAAAACTGTAAAAATTGCAGTTCCCTTTCGCAAAAAGTCATTCGGAGCAATCGACGTTAACGTCAGCCGGAATTGGCAGACACAAAACGCTGAACGGGAGTTCGACGTCGGAAGAAATTTCCTGGAAAATGTCGACACCGCGAACTACTCTTATCCCTTATCGGAAAGAAATACTTTCGTATTCTCAGTTCCGAGGTCCGAGCAAACTTGTTTGCATCGTTATTGGCTGCTTTCGAGCACTGGCGCAAGATCCTCTACCTGCGTTGTAAGAATGACTCAATTTTCCTAAGACGTGCACCACCCTCCATACTCGCGAAGAAAAACTACCCCGAGCATCCTCGACTGCTCTCGAAAATCGCCAAGTTCGAACGCCGCCTCAAAATTCATCTCTGCAAATTGTCCAATTACGGAGAACATCTTCCGTGTCTTCATAGAAGATACTCGAACCATTTCCGCTGATAAGTCACGAAAGAATATCCTCGGTGCTCCGATCAGACATCTTTTATCGTTATTACGATTATTAAAACTCGTTCGTAATGGTTTGTTTGAAAAATTAGCGAGACGAATTATTCAGTTCCGAGCACAATTAGGCCGCGAGGTTTAATTTTCCGTTCGATACGCACAAGTATATAATTCTCCAACTATATTTTACAGTTCTCGCAGTCGGAAAATGATAATCACCTTCATTAGTGGCATCATTGCGCCAGCGTATCGATACTATGAAACCATTACGGTTTAATAATTCGTAAAGCAGTGATTATGCTACTTAAGCCAGAGGGTAGAGGGTAGAATTTCACCAATTTCGCGTGCCAACATCGGAACGAATTTCATTTCACCGTTAGATATCATAGAACCGGTGGAATGAAACACGAGTCCGTTGCCGATGTGTCGAACGAGTCAAAGGAACTAGTTAACAAACTTCGATGCAACGATCCCTCAGCCCGCGAACATAATTCATGATCAACATGATTCGCCGACAGAAACGTAGGCACGCGTCTGCAAACTGCATAACGAGCTTCAAAAGCTTTCTGTCTGCCGAAAATGCCAAAGCACAAATATGTTTTATCCTTTCAAATTTGTTCGCTATTTTCTCTCGTTGGGATGCATCCTGCATTTTTGATCATCAGGTTTAATGCATCTCGACCGTGTTGCTCGACAGGCTCGAAAAGTTCATCGGGACCTTTATACGATGGTCAAAGCCCCTTAAGCATCGATTGCGCTCGTTCTATCGTGAATAGTTGAAACTTGCACCAACCAAGTTGACCACGGCGCACGGTTGCCATGACCGCACGTATGTCACGTATGGCCGTATTAATACACCATTGAAGATATTTACGTCCTGCAGCTACACCTTTGTCTTTGTCCCGCCATTCCGATCTCATTGAATGGCACTGCTCAAGCAGATAGTGTTCAAACTGCAACTGATTTCATGCGACCATGGCATACAGTATTCGCGTCGGATAATTCTAAGTTTCAACTTGAAATTTTCACTAGCAATTCGTGACTTTTATTTAATAAAAGATTCCGTTGCTGATGCGGCCGTGTTAACCAGTTGCAAACCTTCGCCAACAACGTCAACAGCGACGCTGACGAGACGTATCCGGAGGCGTTGCGTCTTCTCGATGCACAAAGTAAAACCGCGAGTTAGCAAGTTCCCTTGCGAGTTGCACGACGCGAAGAACGATGCCTTTGCATCGAAATTAGGCCTGCGTCGCTCTAAGCTAATCTGTCTTCCATTGTGCGGGCGCGTTTCTGTAATACCTGTGACGACGTACGCGTATGAAACGTCATCGTATCACAAGACTTGGTTATTCGCCGTGAAAACGCGAAACATCGACGCGACATCGAACGAGTTCGCTCGAAATTTTTAATCTTTCTAATGACTGTCGCTCAGTCATTCGCGCGGCCAGCAAAAGGTTCAACTTCCGTATGAAAGGACTTCGGTGATCAGCGTGCGCTCATCGACGAACCTGTGACGTACCGGATAAGCGTCGGGACGAATTTATGATCGAACGAATATAGAATGAATACGTCAATCTCGAAAACAAGAAGTATGGGCTTTTGAAACTACCTACGATAACGAGAATAATTAATCCTTCGGTTACATTACTGATAAATGTATCAGCCTTGAACACTCGGACACTATGAAAGTAGGATAAATATAATTCGAATAAAAGTCTTTTTACGATGTTTTTATATTCCACGCACGTGTCGGACGCGATTCAGATTTGGGCGTTTGTCGAAAGAACTGTTGGTTCGGATTGCTGGTGCCGGTGTAAGAAATGCTCCCTAATACCGTCTTTTTAGAGTGAAAAAATCGTCGCTTTAATCAGGAGAGAGCGGAGAGGAGAGGTTTGCAGCCTCTTTGCGAATATTGCAGCTGGCCAGATAAGCCGAGCTAACCCCGAATTACCGGTCCCTCTCTTTGCCAGTGCAAATTAGCAAGCAGGCAGACAGTCACGCTCGGAGCCGAGAGAAGCGTACAATTTTAAGGCACTCGCTCTAATAGGTAATGCAATTTAAGAAGCTCGTCAACCAGGATGGCAGCAGGACCGTAGGCAGATGGCCGGTGGAAAGGGGTAAACCGAGACCCACCCCTTGAGCGGTGTACGTAGAGTGAATCTTAAATTCTGTGGCTGCCGCTACAGACTGCATAGCTGAGTGAATAACTTCGGTAATTACCAACGACCTAGTTGCGAATGACGCTCAAGGTAGGGTTTCGAATCTGACCACGAGCGACCGGAAACGATAACTTTTGATACCGTGCCACCGATTTGACAAGCGGGCCAACTTTTCGAGGCCAAGACCGTGAGTAACGCGCCGCGTCTAGATACGCTTCGTAACCGCGAAACCAACATCTCGCGTTTCCGCTTTTCTCGAGCAGACTCGTCAAAAACAGAAGTAACGTCGGGACAACGAATTTTCAACGACGAATGCGTTTAATGGTAAGAAGAAGCATCAACGTCCGCTTCCGGTTTGGCACGGCTCTTCAGGCCCGTCCAATCAGCGTCGAGTGCAACGACTCCTGCGGTCCTGGCGATCGCCGTACGATATTCTCGAGTAATGCAATTTCTTGAGTTTTCGGCTTGGCTCCAAGTCGTTACACGTACGTTACTCGATAGCGGAGACCCGGAGAACGCCCGGGGCGCTCGTGTGTCCGACGAAACTCCCTGCTTACACACCGAAACGACATCGTTGTTCTTAAACCAACGGGCAAAGAAGAGCGCTGGTGTAAATCGAGACACCGCGTTCGAGACCGAACTATAAAAACGTGGAAAACAAGAGGAAGATAAAGACGTAACGACCGGTACTTGGGTACAGAGGGACAAGACAAATATATATACATATATACCGACAAGGAAAACTTCACCCACGCTCAACTTTCCTAATATTCTACTAAATAGGAACTGTCGTTCCTCCGAATCTCGTCCTGTTAACCGTCGATTGTCGAACCCACCAACGAACAACAGCGTTTGTTTTCACGACGATAAAACGATTCCGAGAACTTCCTCCCCGATGCTCTATACCAATCTGTGCAATTAAGTTCCCCTGAAATTGCTCACGAAACGCTCGAATTAGCATAGAACGTAGGACAAGATAATTTCGAGTCGATCGACGCGATTAGGTCTTACAAATTTTGCATTTTCTTCCCTGACAACGTTTTAATTGACATTTCGTAAAGAATGTAAAGATATTTTCTAAAGAATTTCTCAACTCGAGCTCTGTCAAACGGCGTGCAACAATAGTGTCCCTTGGAATATCCTGCAGTGATCGCGGAACTACCCCCGCGCGAGTCTTTTTACGCTTATGCGATAACGTCGCGTTAATTTCCTCTGCCTATTTTCCAGGCAACCCAGATCCATTGAGGGTACCGAGACATACAGTACACCGGTGCTTTTCAATATTTCCAGATGGTGCCATTCGCGGCGAGAAGCCAACCAGCGCGGAGACTCAGAATCAGAATAATGTCCTTTCTTCGGGAGCTGCACCTGTCAAGGATGTCCTGGCGCAGACCGGCGGCAGCGCTATACTACCCTGTAAATTCACTGGCCCCGGAATGGTGAGTACTGCTATATGTATACAGCAAATATATGCGTTCTAGATGATGTATACAAGGGAGACGGCTCCGTGTACAAGTGGACCCGTATATACACATCGTATAGGCCGTCCTCCGTGAGCGCATTATACACGGGCCAATGCACACCAAGGAAATATGCACACTGTACACAAGTTTGCATGCCATTGTGTAAAGCGGGGAACATCGACAAACACCCGCGTTGCAGATTGCGCGTATACAGAAGCTCGGGCATTGCGCATTCCGAAACCGCGCGCGTGAAACGCGCGTATATGCCTTTCGAGACGCAGGATGACCGTCGACGCCCATTTTGCGTCTTGCGCGCGTGTCTTTCATCCCCCTGATTTCCGAGGAAATTTTCAATTCTACGAGACCCGCCAGTTTTCAATGCCCCCGAGAGCTTTCGCGTCGTTTCAAACGCCTTTCAAACATTTTAAAAGACCAGTTACGCTCTTCAAGGATTTCGCGTATCGTACAACGCGCGGAATAGCCGCACCGACTTTCCTACGTCGAGCCACATTCCGACGTATCCAATGGAAGACACTTTTATTTTTACTTTGTCACAGGTACGTGACTTTGGCAGTTATCAATCGTCATTGTACAAGATGGGGTGAAACAAGGGTAGGTGGTGACTCTACATGTAAAAGTAAGTCGAAAAGAAAGAGTAATACTTTTTCGTTCGAGCCTTGGTTTTCGAGATAATTAAATTAAAAAATTTGTCTAGATCAAGTGATAAGTCCACGCGCTTTCACCGACGCGTCTGACCATAAACCGATTTTTCTACTTAACTGAATTCTATCGATTTACTCGAAAACAAGGCCTCGAACGAAAAAATGTTATTCTTGTTTTTCTACTTACTTTTGCACGGAGAATCACCCCCTATCGCGTTGCACCACCCATTCCACCCCACCCCACATAGCAATTTGTATCAACGTTTCTTTCGTAAACAATGGATGTTAGAACAAAATAGAAGAGAAGAAAGTTGTAGTACATTTTACCAACAACGAGATAGCCTGCTCAATTTTTTGTGTTTTCAATATTTTTCGAGAAGATGACCTTTCGCACAGGACCAGAAATAAAATAAATCCACCGTTTCGTGATACTGCATTTACTAATGTGTTGTGATTTCAGTCTGTATGCAGGAAACGTATCGGAATAGTAATTGATTCCGAAGGGATCGCGGATGCTGTCGCGTACACCAGTTGCTAGGTTTCATCTTATCGCACTTCGACGCGTAATGTATTTAAAGAGATGACAACGCGGAACGGTTTGAAAAGAAATTTATTCCCCGACCGTAAACATATAGGACAGGAAGATTCGGGTCATGCACGCTGAATATTTACTGTCCCCGTTCGCAATTTAACCGGAACGTTCATCGTCACCAATGGCGCAATAATTGCTGAAACGTGAAACGAAATTGTTTTCCACCCCACTTTGCGATATTTCGCCCCTTTTCTCGCGGCGTTGGAAAAATTCATCGCCCCGTCTTACGAATGAAAAATGAACGATCTCGCGGTCGAAAGCTCTGTCACGACCAAGACTATTCCATATTGTGCGCAACATTTATCACGATGGGGTAGTTCCGAAGTTCTCGGTTTTCTAGCGATTTTGTCTCCCGCGAAGCTCCTGAACGTCGGAGAGTTTCCATGCAATTACCACCGCAGAATCGTAGCTTCTTGCGAGAATTAGGTCGTGCAAACGTTTAATCTCACCTCGCGTTGCAAGGTGTCCGAGGGTCATCCAGATTAGCGAATACAAGCGTGAGTTTGTTGCTAGCGCGAGCGATTCGCGAGTCGGGCCAACCGTTTCGCTTTCGGCGACCAAAATTTCGCGCTTTAACTCCCGGAAAGGGGGGTAGGAAGAGAGGAAGGTTGGACCAAAGCATGGATTTCTCATCCTGTCAGAGTCCTGTCCAACTCTCGCTCTTATCTACAGGATAAACACCTATTTATACAGCTGGCCGCGAAATTGATCTCGGCCGCCTTGTTCGCGCGATCGTTGGCTTTCTCGCCAACGTGTTGCGCGTTGACGTCAATTAAACTTGCCAGTCACGGAGGAAATCGGAACATAGAAACGTGAATGACGTTTGCAAGTTCTATTTGCGGGTCCTATTTCCCTTTTCGTATATTTAAACACTCTAAATTTACCAGGTATGAAATATGGTAATTGATTTCAGTATTTCCATCCCCCGTTAAATCCGTCGCGACAATTTAATTCGCTCGGCTGGTAAATTTTTGAACGCCACGACGCGAATTTGAGACCCGCCGCTTATCCCCGTCTCAGTATTTTATATTCGTCTCGTCATCTTTTATCAATTTCACGGAAACTTCTCTTATCCCAGGCTTCCGGGATCTCCCTCTCCGATTATTGCTACACCCGTATATGGTCCTTGTCTTTCCTCCCGTCTTCTTGCGTAAAACGTGTCCAAAATTCTAGTCCCCGGTTCATATACAATGGTCGTAAACGTCTAGCTGTCTCGACACGAAGCAGAGATGGATCTTCCAATGTTGGTGTCTTGTCTACGAGACTCCTAACACCGACTTCTCTTCTTATCTCTATGTTCCACTATGCTTTTAAATTTCAGGCTTCGATATTTGTTAACAATTTCCAGATTGCGTAACCTCCATCCACGCGCATCATCGGTGGCAATAATAACAATGTTGCAAAATTTTTTTTGCCCGCAAGGTATCGCGCGATTCGTTACACTTTCACATTTGACTGCAACTGAATTCAAAGTTCGTGGAACGGATTCATTGTATCCCATGAATGCTTGATTATCGCGAGTCGTTATTGTCGCGCAGAATTTCGAACAATCGCGCGTGTCTTCAATTGAATTCCCGCGGCGAACAAAAGTCAATTACTCGGATTCATTTTCCAGGAAAAGCGCGGAACGTCCAGGCAAGGACACATCGGCACTGGATGAAATCGCGTCGGTGGCCCTCCGGCAAGAAAAACAGCGCTCGATGAATATGTTTTATTTTGATAGATTCTTTCTTCGTACTCCGTTTAACGTAACCCCGTAAGTAAGTCGATCCTTAGGTTAGAGTTCGAACAATTGATTTCAAGCTGCCGCAAAGACGTTTAGTACCTTTGTTCGGAGTTGATGAAGTGTCTCGACCAACAGGGGACAAAATTGCGTCATAGCGGAGCAATTCCGCCCACCTACGTCCTGAATAATGCAGGATGAATCTTAATCGCGCCCTCATTGTACATACTCACGGGAAATAGAAATTTTCGCGTGCAATTTCAGGGTGTCTGAGTGGAGCGGATCGAGTCGCGGCAGCCGGCCGGCCGTGGCTAGGAAACTGTGGTTTCCGGCGCGTTGTCGCTTGCAACATTAATACCGAGAAATTACGTTCGGAGGGTAGGAGGGGGGAAGAGTTTCCGTCCCCTCGGACGTTCCTCGCTCTTTCGAGCGCGTATTTCCCGGTTTCTCGACCGTACCTGACCGAGGCTCGTTGCCTTGTACCCTTCTCGAGATACGTTTCCCGATTTCTGCTCTTTGCCACCGTTGACCCCGGCCCGAGGCTCGCGTATGCCAACACGCCGTTCCGATTATTTATTAACGAGCAAGACGGAGTCCGAGCCACGCGCAAAAGACGAGCGCACAGAGCCCCCGTTCAGCGAGTTGGATTTCAAATAGCCTGTTTGATCCTCTACATCGTGCTTCGGTTAATAAATGATTATTACGGGTGAAAGTTCAGCTCGTAAAGCCACGCTCAGCACGCTCGAAACGTTCGCTATTCCTCTCGAAACCTGTGAACACTCACGAGTTGGCTTCTGGGATTCTTTTACGAGTCGTAATACTAATCCGACGTCTCCACCTTTTTGACTAATTTTAATGCTATTTTTCTATCGATTATGGACCAGAATTCTATTGAGAAACTCCTGTATACCTTCTCTCAAAAGACTCTTTCTTTTACCGAGACTTGTATGGCGAATATTTGTCCAGTCTTTTTGACCTACAAGAAGACGAAACGCGAAAAAATCTGGCGCTTCGTAAGCAGCGTATCGCTGTCGGCCTAAATGCCCCGCTAGGAGAACACACATGGTCCTAGTTTTTCGTCGTCTTCTTTCGCCTCTGGGACTATTTGCTTAGTTTTTCGGGGCGAGTGGACGGGAGCGCACGGTCGAGAGTGGCAAATTGATCCTCACGGAAACAATAGGCAAAGGAACGAGCACTCGGAAATGGCCCACTTAACCGTTCATCCTTGGTCAATATATCGATATCGACGGCGTTGCTTTTGTCGTACAGAACGGCGCGGATATATCTTCAATAATTGAGGCGCGATGATTTCTGTTCGGCTCCTATCGCGGTCCAGGAAGCAATCGACGAGAAGGATACGAGAGTGGTTCGCGTCTACGTACGTACACAAAATACGTCGATATTAGCACACAAGGGGAAGCCAATATTCTAACGTCAGCATGTTTGGAAGGCACTTTTAGCCCTGCTCGTGTCTGTCGGCTATGTTCATCAAGATCAGTAGACTCCAGGGACAGAGACGGGATCTTATTACGAGGGAGCATTTCCTTTTACCGCTATCGCGTAACATAACGTTAGATATTAGAACAACTCGAGTTCGTCCCGCCTTTATTTCACCCGTACCGAAAGCTTCGAAGTAATTGAAAGGCAAAGGCTCGTCTCGCGAGCCGGGGGAGGAAACACGCAGGTATAAAGTGCAATTGCGCAGGAAGCAATTCGTGCCCACGCGCCATTCGCGGGAGGAATGTTCCGTGCTCGCGGTATTAGGCATCGTATACCTTCGAGCGTAACGCACAATTGCTACATCTCCGGATGGAGATGCAGAAATGAACATAGCAACAGATGTAACCGATGATACCGTTTCTGGCAACAAAGCAATTCGGGTTTAATGCGAACGCATTGCGCGAATATGATCGCGACAGATGGGAAACACGAAGGTCTATTAACACGGGTAATTCCGATAGATTCTAAGGCAATTGTGTCGATTAATTTCGAGCGGCTG